GTTGCCAGCCACTAGATCAGGCTACCCAGGGCCCCATCCAACCTGGCTTGAATGCCTCCAGGCATGGGGCATCCACAACTTCTCTGGGCAACCTGTTCCAGTGCCTCACCACCCTCTGGGTGAAAAATTTTCTCCTAATATGTAACCTAAATCTCCTCTCTCTGTTTTAAACCCTTTCCCCTTGTCCTATCACTATCTGCCCATGTAAAAAGTTGCTCTCCTTCCTGTTTATAAGCTCTCTTCAAGTACTGGAAGGCCACAATGAGGGAGCCTTCTCTTCTCCAAGCTAAGCAAGCACAGCTCCATCAACCTTTCTTCATAAGAGAGGTGCTCCAGCCCTCTGATCATCTTTGTGGCCCTCCTCTGGACCTGCTTCAACAGCTCTACATCTTTCTTGTGTTGGGGGCTCCACACCTGGATGCAATACTCCAGATGGGGCCTCAAAAGGGCAGAGTAGAGGGGGACAATCACCTCCCTCTCCCTGCTGACCACCCCTCTTTTGACTTCTCTGCTTTTGCCTTTTTCACAGGGCTACCATCCTGGGCCATACTTACTCCTTAGGGTTATGAGAATCTAAATTACTCTGACTCTCTTACTCTTGAAAAACGTGATACATATTTCTTGATAATCTAGATCAAGATTATTTTAGATTTAGATTTTAGATTCACCATTTACCTATGGTGAATGGCTTACAAATTTACACACTAACACAATGTAATTTAATTGAACAGGCCACACTCTGTTATTCATAAATAAATGGGTCTGGTACCTTCATGTAAGAGCCTCAGAAAGATTAGAATTTTCCAAAAACATGGAATAACTAGACACAAATATTATCTTTGTCATCTTTTTTGAAGGTATTGTGTACTTCAGCATTCTGGGACAGGGTTCTGAGTTTGGAGCCATCAAACGTGCTTATTTGCCCACATTTGACAGCAGTAGGAACAATCCTACAAAGGAAGTTGACTTGAATCTCAAATACATAGTTAATCCTGATGGGTTAGCTGTTGATTGGGTTGGAAGGTAAGTGCACTGAAAAGCTAGAAAAATGCTGTACATTGAATGTCTCAAGGGTCTGATCAGGCAGTGCAAAATCCCCTTTTTTCTTCCTTATGAACTGTCTCTGAAGATATCTAGTCTCAAGGTAGTTCAGAAGAATATAGTAAGCTCTATTTGCCCAGACAGCAAGTTAATGGGTCAAATGCATGTTGCCAACTACATCACGTATTCTCTGAGGAAACTTGCATTACTCTGTACCTGGCAGGTCAGTTGTGCATCAGTAAAGTGATAATACACTGGCCTTCATGTCAGATGGATCCTTCAAGGACCAGGTAAGCTCCAGGGAACAAACTTTCTCTGTTGCTGGAAGGAGGCCTCCCCAATTCATAATGGAATTTGTCTTTTATCTTTGCTCCTTTCTTATCGGCCTTGTGCTATATGAACTAATCCCAAAGCAGAAATAACTCTGAAGTCTGATGAATGCATGTATTTTCTCAGAAAATTGTTATATTTTTATAATTGTGTCTCAGAGGCTTTTTTCTCTTGTTGACTGTGGATTTTTTTAGACTAAAACATGGCAATTTTTTAACTTAATCCTAGAAATCATGAGACCACTGCTTGTTTTCCCTCCCTTGGAGAAGAGCTGGGAAAAAGTTAGGCATGACTTTTGGGAGTTCAACTCTGATGTTGATGGTGTTATTTCTTATTTGCAGTGTAACTGTTAAAGGATGTGGTGGACAGGCAGAGCTGTAGTTCATTTGGTATAATGTTGAAAGGATCTTTATGTTTGTAGGTAGACACTATGAAAAGTAGTCCAAATTCTGATTGAAGCTGAATGGACAGAGGTTGTAGATATGAGTCAATCTTCTGAATGCTGTTGACAAATTTTAGATATTCCTGGTAATGCAGTCAATAGGGTGGAGAAGAAGGATGTTAAGATCATAATAAAGCATGACGTTTCTGTAAAGCTGAAAAATAAAAGAAGGAACCTAGCTATCTGCTTCCCCTCTGTCACATGGGTATCAACTAAGTGGATGAATACTTTACATTTTATGTCCTCGATCAAAAAATGATTGGAAGGTGCTTAAGATCTGAATTATGTTTGTGACAACAGAGAATTTTTTTTTTTTTTCCTAATGAAATAGCAAAAAGCTATTGTATGAGTATGCAAAGATTGGGAAAAGACTTATTCTAGTTTGGGGCCTGGTATGTATCTTTCATTATCTAGACTCTGTGTTAAGTGATATATACTGTGTTAGGTGTTGTGTCCTGTGTTATGGAATTGCTAATGCAGTATGTCACCCTGATTTCTAGAGCAGGATAAAGCTGGTCTGGCTGGCTGAAGTGATTCCCTAGCCTGAAAAATCGTGCCAGTCATGATGGAAAAAATGCAGAAAATTGTATCTTTCCTTCCAGCAATTTTAAAATATCAGATAGATTAAGGTCTGAGCTAGCCTTCAGCCTTAAGGTTATTTTCCTGTTTGCTTTGTGAACTGGACGCCACCTGGAAAACCAAATGTCTCTGAGGCCAGAAGAGAGTGTCTAAATTTCTATTCACAAATATATAAGGTCATGAGAGAAAGAATGAAGGATATATGTCACTAGCACCCTGATGAGGTTAGCATCTTCAGCACTTCAAACATAGTGTAACACTGATTCCAGAACAATGTTGAAATGTATTTTCAAAAAACATATTTGAGTGTCTGCACATTAGTTTGAGACACTTAGTCCTTTTTCTCATCTGCTAAATAAAAATGACAGTATTTTCTCACATTCCCAAGACAATTATGAGATAATTTATTACATCAGAAGTCACTGTGTGATTAGTGAGTGCATAATATTGAGTATGTTTATTATCTAAGGTGAAAAAAATAATAAAACCATAATTATAAAGGTAAGCAAAACTCAAGAAAATGCAGACCCAGTGCCCTGTTTGTAAGGACTAAAAGCGTTTGTGTCTGATGTGGTAACAATTTATTCGTTAACATCTCCATCAGAAGACAAAAGTTTAGAGAAGAGCTGTGGACTAATAAACTGGACACTTTCAGAGTTGCTGTATAAATTGCATGGTAGATAAATTTTTATTTGTAATGAATCTCATTGTCTCCTGGAAAACTGCATCTTTAAAGATGCTTATTAGCCACTTCTAGTGCTTTAAAGTAACAATGAAAGTTCTCAGTAGCCCTTTAATGAAGATTATTTGACAGGGAACAGAGGCAGCTGCAGAAACTTTGTCAGAGGAGGAAACTAGAGAGCTGATAAATCACATTTGCTGAACTTGCCTGTATTTAGGATCTGTATCTTCCAGAATGAAAAAGTTCAGGTGTAATCAGTGCAGCTTCATTATATTAATTTTGTTCAGGTTTGATATAACTTTTCTACTTAAAAATATTTCTGTTTTTAGTTCCTCTCCCAAGTATAAACTATTTACTTTTTGAATGTTTTGTGTTTTATGTAATTCAGACATCTTTATTGGACTGATGCAGGGACTAATCGCATAGAGGTGGCAAAATTAGATGGCCGGTACAGAAAATGGCTTATTTTTTCTCTGCTGGATCAACCAGCAGCTATTGCTGTTAATCCAAAACGTGGGTAAGTACTACAAGACTTTCCAGAATTGTTTTCAATGCTATTAAATGCCAAAAAAACCTGCAATAGTAAAATTAACAGGGAAGACTAAGGGAGTACTTTCTGGAGTTTCCCTTTACTAATATTAAGAAATTTATGTGCATGGGAAAGTATTTTAGGATTAGATTTCATATGGGTGCTTGTGTTGGTGACAACACTAGGTAACTCCAAAGGATAATCATGGTGACCAAATTTTGAACTACATTAAATTCTGGTTCTGTCCTTTCAGGCTCATGTATTGGACTGACTGGGGAAGGCAGCCAAAGATTGAATGTGCCTGGATGGATGGACAACAAAGACAAACTCTAGTTTCTGAAGACCTTGGCTGGCCAACAGGTCTTTCTATTGATTATTTGAACAATGATAGGATCTATTGGAGTGATTCTAAAGAAAATATTATTGAATCCATGAGACCTGATGGGACAGACAGAACTGTAGTATTACATGGAGGTAAGAGCTTATTATGCAATTAATATAATAGTAACCAAGATGTATGCTAACAAGCATTTGGGCTTCACAAATGGGGCTAGATTTGGAAGCTTTTCAAAGAGTAAGTCTTGGTAGTGTTTTCTTCTCCTTTATACAGGGATAAATGACACACCAGGTTCAGAGTTCATGATACCTAGTAACGAGATTCCCTGAGGGTAGTTTACATGACCCAAATAGGGGACAATGTGGAAAATTGGATTATTGCTTTCTTATGGATATTATTAAGCAGTCTGCAGGTGGAATGAAGTGGTCAGGCACATGAGGATGTATATATATATAGCTGCAAATGTCTTAAAATTAAAGGATTAGATGATATATTTAAGCTGAAGAAGAACAGCAGTTTTACCGCTTCTGCTAGAGGTTTGCTTGCTGACACTCTGTTGTTTGGTTCCTTTGAGAAGTAGGCAGTCCATACAGCCTTGATGTCTTTGAAGGCCATTTATATTGGATAGCTAAAGAACGAGGAGAAGTCTGGAAGAAAGATAAATTTGGAAGTGGAGAAAAAGTGAAAGTGCTGACTGTAAATCCGTGGCTAACTCAAGTGCGTGTCTATCACCAGCACAGATACAATCAGTCAGGTAGGTAATCCGTGTCCTGGTGAGCCATTCCTTGCTATGAGATCAAAGTTGGTAACAATATCTTCAAAGAGCTTAGTAATCTGATAATGCATCTATCATTATGTGATAATACTCACTTCTGAAAACCTAAAAATGGAACAGAAGCTGGCATGTATTTCCTGCATACCCGAAGTGAAATCAACAGTGGAAAACCACACACTGCTCTTTTAGAGTCTCTTAGTTCTGACACTGTCTTTTCTCTTCTTCCCCTCCATCATGGAGTTGTTGTAGAGGTGGCAGTCACAATATAAATTTATCTTGATAACATACAAAGTGCTGGCCCTTTAATACTGCCTCCAAGGGGAACACGTTCAGCTATGACATTGTCTACAGTAATCACAGGGGAGGATGTCCAGAGAAACATCCAGTATGTCCCTCCTTAAAGGTGTTTTGGCTTTCAGAATCAGAAAGCTCCATGTTGCTTGGAGATGTTAAGTTTCTTCTTGGTGCTATGCTGGCTCCTAGCAGCCATAGTCTCTCCCTTAAGAATGTAAGAAAATGCAGAGAGAAGGTTTCGATATAAATGTGGAATTTGGGCATCAGCTGTTTTAAAAAATGGATCTAGACTTTTTCAGATTTTTGGTGTGTGATATTGATGAGATACATTACTGACTAGGGAATTGCCCTGTTTTACCTCAGGAATATGCTGCATTGCTTCTTCAACTGTCTTTATCACTTTTTTTTCCAGTGCCTAATCCTTGTAAAGATGTCTGCAGCCACCTTTGCTTGCTGAGACCCGGAGGGTACACCTGCACTTGTCCTCAGGGGACTCGATTCATAGAAGGCAGCAGCACAGAGTGTGATGCAGGTAGAATAATTTGTCAAACTAGAAATGAAAGCAGAGGAAGCTTTTCTTTAGGAGTGCAATTGCATTACTGAATTAGAAATATGCAGGGATGAACTAGCTGATAATAACAGATCTTGGTAAGTCAGGACATCTGGCTTTTATTCTCAGCCATCACTGATTTATGTTGACCTTGTGCATTTCATCTAATCTTTTTTCATGTCATTTGTAAAATGGATATGGATCTACCACTCCAACCAGTCCAGACCCAGCTGCAAAGTTGGTCACAGTTTATGTTTTGTTTTGAAATTCCAAAATATTTTATTTTCCTTTTTTTCAAATGCAGATTTCAGAACTAGAGAATTTCTGACAAATTATGGTTTACAATTATGTTTACAATTCTGTACAAGGTATTGTTTGATCAGTATAATAGAATAGAATAGAAACTTGAAACAAAAATTACAGAACTCACAGTGTGAACAGAGATAACTTCTAGATAATTATTATGTGTTGGAAAGCCTTTTAACGCTAGAATTTAGTATGTGGTTGTTGCATTGCAGCACAGCCCCCACAGTGCTTCCAGGAGCACCAATAAAATAGAATGCTCAGCCTTTCCTGAGAAGGAAGAGCATACCACTGCAGGATTTCTATTTCTCTAGCTGACAGTCTGCATTCTTAGCTTACAGTGATCTGGGTGGTAGCCAGATGTCCTTATACTTATCCTTGCCACATATCTCTAATAAATTATGCTTTTCTATTATACTGTCTCCATTTTTGAGCTTCATTTTTATCTCGACTTTAAGCAAATTTTTTAGCCAGTGAACTGTGGCTGCCATAATTGATGTACTGACTAAACATAGCTTTTGTATATACATTTGGTTTATTTAGTCCTTTTCCCATATTGCAGCTACTGAGAAACACAGCCTGTAAGACCTCTGTATTTCCCCTTTTTGCATCCCGTTTACTTGAAGGGAGTTTTACCTGTAAGGAACATTGTAGCAACATACTTCCTCTACCTCTAGCTGATAAAAATTTTATGATAAAATATTATGATCTAACTTACCAGTATAGGACAGACTGTCAAAGTCCATCCTTAATTTATAGACTATAATGATGTCTAAGATCCAGAGCTTTTCCTCTGCAAACTACACGTTTCTGATAGCACATGCTGAACTCTAAGTGAAGGCTAGTACAACTTCAAGAAATGTTTGGTTGTTTTTTTTTCCTTCACTTGACTCAGCATTAGAATAACATCAGAACTACTGCAGCTCTGTGTTTGAGCCAGCTCAGGCAGCACTGCCACCTGGGCACCTCAGGGCTCCTGGAGTGCAGCTAAGACACTGGCATGATGAAGAACAGGCTTCTGTGCTACCAGGTGCCAAGCCACTAGCCTGTGCTCTGTACTGACAGAAACTGAGGATTTTGGATTTCTCTCTCTCATCACTGTCAGGATGTATGAGAGTTTAGAGGACCCTCCTGTATGGACATTTCTGTCCACTGCTTTTCTTCATAAGTAAATGCTTCACAGTTTGGTCCTCTCTGTGCAGCTTCAAGCTGGTTGGATAGAAGAGTCTGGGCAAAGGAGATAAAGTATTGTTGCTTTCTGAATGGAGGCCTTTGAAGGCTGGTGGTGGGCTACATTGCATAGGCAAAAAAAAGTGATGGGGCATACTGTTTTTGTATTGTGTATGCCTACTTTTACCAAATAAGTTGTTATTTTCTGAGAACAGGTTTTACTTAAATTAAAATAAGCTAATTTAGCAGAAAAACAAATATCGGAGCAACAAATGCATGTGCTATTAAAAGCAAAACTGAAAAGTAGCCTGTGAGTTTGCATACGCAAGTTCTGTAGAGGTAAATAAAATACTCTGTGGCAGTATTTCATTTGTTGAAGATGTCTTGGTAACACGTATGTGGCTTTTGAATTTTGCAGCTATTGAATCTCCTCCCACAATGCCACCAGCATGCAGGTGCATGTATGGAGGAACGTGCTATATAGATGAAAGTGGTCTTCCAAAATGCAAGTAAGTCAGTATGTTGTTAAGGTAGTCTTGGGTCAGATCATGCTGATTTAGTCTCACAAAACAATTAAACTCTGGAAATGTGTTGGAAATGCTTCAGAAGATGGCATACATCTGCAATAGCGTGTTTGTAACCATCACAGAAAAACACATGCACGCATAATAATATCAGCAAATAAGCAATGTAAATGCATTGGTTTAGAAAAAAAAACCAAACCAAAACAAACCCAAAAGCCAACCAATCAAACAAAAAAAAAAAAAAAAAAAAAAGAGAAAGGCAAACCTCTGAAGATTCTAGTAAAAGGCTATACCAAAAAATTGTAACACTTGTTATGCTCAGTAAATGTAGCTTGGAACAGCCAGTAGGTGTCACTGATGCTCTGCTGAAACCAATTTATTTACTTCAGTGACTTGTTTGCTGACTCAGCAGTTTTATTTCTACTTTTAATTCTATGAAGATAGCAGACATACTATATTTACAGTCAGTGAAATATATAATTACCGAGCATGGAGTTAAAAATTATGGCATTTGGATAAACATTACGGAATATAATAACGCTGAGATCCTAGACTTAATAAAAGCCCTTCAGTAAGCTCTCCTTCTTACCTTTACAGGTGTTCTTATGGCTACACTGGCAATTATTGTGAAATAGGATTGTCAAAAGGAGTGCCTCCTGGAACAAGTAAGCTTCAATGTCACACTTGATATTTAGGACTAAATAATACCTCACTATGGTATTTGTTCAGTGTAGGCTGAACATTCTCTAGGCTCTTTTTTACACTGAAGTATGCTTGCTTGAATGTTTGTTTACTCTTCTGTCTTTGATAGCAGCAGTAGCAGTGGTGCTGACAGTCATACTAATAATAATAATTGGAGTGTTAGTGATTGGAGGCTTTTTTAACTACAGACGAACAGGCTCCCTTTTACCAGCGCTTCCCAAACTACCAAGGTATGTTTTGAAGGCTTTCATAGCAACCATGTCTTTGTGCTGACAATGTATGTTTGTTTCTAAATATTTCTGAAAAATCCAATTTGTTTGCTGTGTGCCCATTCTGTTGGAAAATGAGAAGTGCAGTGTTGCAGCAATCCCAGTGGATTTTTGATTCCAAGCAGTATCATAGCTGATCATTATTTTGTAACAAAGGACTATTGTAAAACTATTCTACATTCTAAATTAGCTTTTAAATAATCAGCAATATAGAAGACTGTTAACCGGATCTGAAACTGGATATTCAGTTCAAAAAAATACAAAACACCATAGTTACATATGTTTAAATTTTTTGTAAAACTTTGTCAAAAGATGATTCTGGCAAAGAAATCTTTTTAACATTGAAAGGCCGAGCTTGTCTGCAATGCTGTATTCATCTGTTTAAAAATAATATGAGGCATGTGTAGTGAAATTTTGTTTCCAGTGCCTGAGAAATGTGGGCTTTTTGTAGGTTCCTGCTCTTCTGACAGTCATGCTGTCCAGTGAAAACCATCTTTGAAATATCATTCAAAAATATTTGATGTTTTAAATCAAAAGAAGATTAAAAATATTTATAATGATTTAAAATTAATTTTATAAAAAAGATGTAAAAATACAAAGCTTTGAAATTTTTAGCTTTAAGCAAATTATGTGTTTTTAAAGGCATAAAGCAGCATCTTCATAGTCTGCACCAATTCACAGTAGTAGCTCTTAGATCAGTGTAATTAAATCATTGTAATCGGTAATGTGGATGTAGCTGTAACTGCTTCTTCAGTGGAGGATTACTATGAACTAACTAAATTTATTTATGACTTGATATAGTTAAATTGGTGGAAAATTTTTGTGCAAATCAATCCTGCAGGACAAAGAGTTTGTAAGAGTTCTCCAAGGTGCTCACTGAAATTCCGTTTCTTGCTTTCTTGAATGGAAATTTTCTGCATCATCAGATAGTGAACAAGTAGAAATTTTAATGCACTGGCTCAAATAGTTCAATAGTATTTCTCATCTAGGTTGTGAGGCCATGTGAAATGGAGATGGCAGTTTTTTCTCTGTGAGGGTTGATTCACAGCTTTCATTTCTGCCATGAATGTGCCTTAGTGCTGCCATTGCTCAGTCCTTCTTTGAACTGTTAACTCATATCTTTACTGCAGAGTTAATTCAAGCTATAGCTTACCTGTTACCTTTAACATGGCACTTGTCCATGTACAGGAATCACTGCTGAGATTTACATTTTTTAAAATTGAATCAGTTGATGCCTGTGGGGCCCACTGGTAAAGTGTGTGCACAATGCACCAGCTGTAGGCAAGAGTTTTAGCACAAGCCAGTTCCGATGAAGACACACAAATGGAAAAATATTTCAATGCTTCTGTCTTTCTTCATGTTAGGCAAATTTGACAAAATGAACTCAATGTTTAACTGCACTGGATTTGTAGTTGCACATTTTTGGGGAGTTGCATGCTGAGAGTTTTATGCCAGAGGTTCTATATTTGGCTACTCATTACTATCTTTCACTGCTCCTATTGTTTTGAGCCTGACAGTTTTCTTTCAGCCTATATCCATTATTTCTCATGCAAATCTAATGTGCACTTGTAATTACTGTAAATCTATGCACAGATAGAACATTTACTTACATGAAATGGTATCCTGTAGGTATTGTTATGCTTTGCATGCATAAACATCTCTAGTATAGATGTTGTTGGAATTATATCCACAAGTTTGCATGCCATTTCAGCTGCATTTTTAAAAAATCAGTTTCAATAACCTTGAATAAATGACTCTGAATAACTAAGTGGATTCATACATTTGTCTGTAAATCAACATTGAAGTAAGAGTAGTCAAAATGTAGGGGAATTTGCAGGAACTGTAGTTCATTGAGTTCATTTGATGTCTACATAGGCACACATAAAGTTAGCTGAGGTCATTCTGAATCAGCTAACTTAGGTTAAAAAACCTGTTGAACTAATGTAGGAACTCCTTGCTAGCTTATAGCCAGCAAAAAATTCCAGGTTATAATTATGCCTAGAAGAAGAACTAGGATAATCTGTTTTATAATCTCTCTTTCTGTATAATCTGTTCTTTGGTTTTGAGGTTTTTTTTAGGGGACTTTTTGTTACCTTTTTTTTTTTTTTTTTTTTTTTAGTTTAAGCAGTCTTGTAAAAACTACTGAAAATGGCAATGGGGTAACTTTCCGGTCTGGAGCAGATGTTAGTATGGACATAGGAGTGTCTGGCTTTGGAGGAGATTCTGCTATAGACAGAGCAATGCAAATGGTAAGGTTTATTTCTGCAATATTTAATCTTTTATGTAAAAAAGATAGTGAGATTATAAAGGTGTGCTGGAAAAAGATGTGAACATTGACTGATAATTTCCTGAAACAGATTTTTGTGAATTGAAGGGAAGGACAAATGCAGACTGCTCTTCAGAATAATGTGACTTTTCTTAAGATTTATATGGTAGAAATTAAGCCAATTATCCCCTTTCCTATTTTAGCATATTCATGGAATATATAGGGAATGAACAAGAAAATAAAAGTATTGTAACAAGGAATTTTTTGAGGGCCTTTGTGTTCCACAGAACAAATTAAAATGTGTGGTTTTCAAATCCAGACTCTACGTTAGAAACTTCAGAGGTAAAACTCAGGACTAGCCACAGGATACACTACTTTGCACATCAAATTATAAATTGGACAGTTTCTTATTTTAGCAAGTTTAAACAAATCATGTTTAATAGTTTTGGGGACATCATAAAGTGTAACTCTACTTTGTCCATGTTTTGTTATGCACATTTGACAAAGAGCACATCCTTACGTTTCCTATACTGTATAGTTTTTCCATGGAAAAAATATTTCCCTGTTTACCATAAGAAGTACAATGTACAAAAGATTTTTATTTATAGGAAACAGATCACAGATACGTTTGAATAATAAACACTAGCTGCAAAGTCTATGCTGGAAACTCCCTAAACTTTTAAAGTTAAAGATGAATTACAGACTTCACTGACAGTAAATGGATATGAAATGAAACAGTTAGGGAGGATAAGCTCATAATATATGTTTATGACCTTTTTGTAGATGAAGAAAGACACTTTGTTAAAACTAGGCAGCTTGTATAATGAAACAACCATACCAATATTTCAGTAAATACTGGAAAAATAGCTTTAGGGACAAATAGTACCTCAAATCTTTTTCATGCATGAAAAACTTTAAAATACTGGCAATTTTCTGGCCTGCTATTGACATACTGAAGTCTAACTGATGCCATTTTTACATTGCTAGTAACAGGTCTGGATACAGCCTATTTCTGCTTAAGTGGTGTACATTCTCCCTGTTTATTCAGAGTGTAAACAAAAAATTGTATAATTCACTGGGAAAGATTTCAAAGGGTTTGATTTATGGCAGTGAAGAACTGAGATGTGCCTCCAAAAATTTCAACATCAAAGATGCATGAGTGGATGTTAGAGGGATATTTTTCAGTGTGGCTGTTCTTAGCTAAGCTGGGCTGATTTGAGGGAGCTGACAAGAGTTCACTGTGTGGTAAAGAGCTATGCTCTTGGTAACACAAAGCATGGAAATGGCATGAAGCAGTGGTTTGTAGAAATGAGGCAGGTTTAAAGAACTAGCCGATGTACTATTCCCATGCTATTCATCACTATGTCTGTGATGGGGCTGTGATAAGGAGCAGGACAAATGAGTTTGGGTGGGGTTTTGCTTTCATTTGCTTCTACCTGTTGATGTTTAGCTGGCTAGCCCTGGGTGACTATCCTTATGTGGCACTAAATATTTTTTTAAGAAATATTTAACTCAGCAGCTTGGCTCACCTCCTGCAAGCACCATAGCTGCAGCTCAGGGTTTGGCATCATATGTGTGAAGTAGCTGTTAATCACACACTGGTCTTCATGCATGGGCAAAGTATTGATTTCTAATAAGAGGTATGCTAAAAACTGCGAAACATTTTATTTCTGACATAACTCACATATAACTAAGGGGGTGGACTTACTGCTTTGTCTCAAAAATATAGCAATCTCCCTGCTGGGAAAAAATGAATGAATCCTATTCTTTTATTTCAGATAGTGCTTATTAATTTGTGTGTCATTTTGAAGTCTCTAAAATGAAACATTTATTTTGGGATTATGCTTCCTTTGATATCTCTTCCCTGTTGAAGGTGTGATTTGTGAGAGTCATTTTTCCTCATAATAAAGTACTTTCGAGTCAATTATTATAGCTAGGAAATGGGGTAATATTGGAAAAATCAATGGTCCAGGCTAAGTGAGGGATTAAAATAATGCATCGTAAACTAATGTTATGATTTTAAGAGATACTAGATTTTGTCTAAGCCTATGTGAATGTAAATATGCATTGTTCCCTGAGATGAAGAATTGGTCTATAAATTAATTCCCAGGAATATGGAAGTGTTTATGGCACTGCAGTTGTTGGTTTGTTGTTTTGTTTGTTTGTTTTTTTTCCTTCATAGAATGAAAACTTCGCAGTGGAGTCAGGGAAACAGCCAATCACATTTGAAAATCCAATGTACGCAACCAGAGATGGTGGAGCCAGCACAGCCAGTGCAGTTACAGTTGTTCGGCCAACACAAGTAAGAGAAACTTAGGCTTGAGTTTTATCTTTTTGTTTTTCCTTTATGACCTTCCTTTCTCCTTTGAAGAACGTTGATTTTCCTTCTTCTCCTACAGGTAGCTGCAACTGGTAGTGGGGAAAATGAAAATTTTGAAAATCCTGTGTATGCCTCTGTGATATCTACTAGTTTGAAGGAACCCCCTCAGAGTACCGATGCGCCTCAGGTAGGACACAGAAATGCTCTAAGGCTGCCTTGTTTGTTTTGTGCTCCAAATCAAGGAAATGGAATTGCTAGGAAAGCTGCAATGTAGTTGCAATTCTCTTTAAATAATGCCATGGAGTTGGCACATAATCTGCATCAAGTCCAACTAACTGGACCGTATTTACAAGAGCTGGTCAGGAACAGTTTGATAAGAGAAAAGCAGCACAACCACAGAATTTTCCAGGGCACAATGTAAGGATCTATTTGGATTAAACCTCTTCTTCCTGACCCACCCAGTTATTTTGAAGTGAATAGACTGGAACAGAAAATTTTCATTCACTGTTTGTTGTGCTTCATTTTGAGGGCAGGTACTAATCTGAAAATTGTAAATTGTCATTGCTCCTCAGCAGAAATTATTATAACTAAGGCTTTGCTTCAGACTTTCAACAATTATTTGTAATCCCCTAATTAATTATACCTTGACAGAAGCAGCAGAGTGTGTGTGCTTGTTTGTTTTGTTTTGTTTTTTCTCTTTTATTTCCCCTACAAAATGTGAAAAGAAAACCCAACAAAAATTTCATTTTGGTTTAAAATAGTGAAAACCTTTTTTTTTTTTTTTTTTTTTTGGTACAGAAAATTGATATAAGACATATAGTCAGTATACTGTCATCATTTTTTCACGTTTATTTGTAATTATATACATATTTAAAAGTGCTAACAAGGACATTTAGCACACTTGTTCTATGTGTTCTTGCAGGACATTTTTAACAATCAAGATCAAAGTATTGCCTCATTTAGATTATCTATGATAATAAGATACATTTCTATGTCTTAAAATCTATTTGAATGAGCTGATGGTGGCTTGTTTAGAGGACTGTTTTCACACATTGTGCAGTAAAAAGCCCCTCTGAGCTTTGAAATGAAAGCACTGTCAACCTGTTGTAGTTTCATGTCCCTCTAATTTCTCTTGTGTTATTTTCAAGACTATTTTTTCCTTATAGACATATTTGTCTGGAATGATAGGCTTCCATTAATTAATTTAGTCATTTTATTGCCTAGCCTTGTGAATACTGCTTTAGGTAAAATAACCATAACTGGTTATCTAGAAGAAAAGAAAGTTGAGTCTCGTGCTTAGAATTACAAAATGGTAATGTAAGAACATCCAGCTGAAATCACTGAGTTAGCAGTCAGTGCAATTGAAATCCAACAACAGGGTTGTCAGTCTCCAAGGAAGTTGTAAGAAAAATCTATAAAGTTCTAATAACTTTTATGTTTCAGGAATCAAAGTGGAGTTTCTTCAAGAGGAAAATGAAACAAAACACTAATTTTGAAAACCCAATATATGCAGAGGTATTGCTTAATATTGTATAATTCTATTTTTCAGCTAAGGTACTGCTGGACTTTGTTCTTGCTTTCCCAGGGTAAATATTATGGGTAGATTCTGCTCCTAAGTGAAGCAGCACAGAAATTCCAGTCTAGGGTCAAGGTAGGACTGAAGTGGTTTTGAGAAAACTTATAAAGTCTCATGCAGAATGAGGTGTTAAGGAGGTATCCAGCTCAGGCAGTGTGGCCCACTCCTGGGATCTTGGGTGCTGGTTTCAGCTTGCTGGTGCATTCTGGTACGGCTCAGGGACCCAGCACAAGTGGGAGGCTATTGTACTGCACTAGGAGTAAAGTGTCTATTTCTGACCTCTCAGTTCTGGCTCCAACACTGCACAAAAATTCAATAGCTCTGTGTACTGCAGCCCTGTTTCTGTACCAGTCCTACTTTTTTCATCCATACAGCTGGATGACACAGTTCTTTTAAGATGGTGAGCCAGCAGGTGGTATGTGTGCTGGAGGAATTCTTCCCTGGCTTGGGTATGAGGGTTTGGAGTTCTTTTGACTTGAGCTGTTAATTACAGCCCTTTTCATCTTACAATTTAAAATTTCCAGATGGCCTAAGTGACTTAAGAACCTCAGTTCCATAGTCATGTGACTAAAACTAGCTGCCTTTGGTGAAGAATTTAGTTTTCTAATGCCTGAACAAGGTGAGAGAGAGTGTTCAGGAAGCCAGGGTCTCATTTCCCAACACTAGCAAATGTAACTATATACAAACAGTAGCAGTGCCTATGTTATCTACATTCATGTATGTGCATGTAGATATATCTAGCTACTTCTGACATTAAGCATTTAAATAGAAGTCCCGATGTGTGGAGTAAGTGTGTAGTTGTGTATTTACTCAGCTGTACCATCTGAGGTGAAATTAGCATTTAATTTTTGCTACAGGTGGTGATTTGCAGAAATAACTTCTACCATGACAGTTGACTTCAGCAAAATATTTCAGTATTTATTTAACACTTCTGAAAGTTAAGGTTGGATAGTTTGTACATTAGAATGTAAACTTGGATTTTATGATTATTGTTTCAGATGGAAAAGGAACAACAACAGGGCACAGAAAATGTCCCTACCCCTTCTCCTTCATTGCTGCCCAAGATTACTCTGAAGAGAGACCAACCATTAGCTTATACAGCAACAGAGGATACATTTAAAGACACCGCCAATCTTGTTAAAGAGGACTCTGTGGTATAACTAGGTAACTGATTTAGGGAAAATTAGACACATCCATTTGCACATATATTTTTTATAAACAGAAGAGTAAGGTTCACATTCAAATGCTTTATAAAACTATATGCATCTCTTAGCCAGTGGCTGGAGATGTATGTTGAAACTATGCCTTGTTTTTTGACTAATGCCAATTTTTATGAACAATTATCATGATGTACTATATGTATATCTTTGCACTGAAGCTGTCTGAAAATACTGTTATAAATATACTGTACATTTGTAAATTTTTTAAAGATTATCTTGCTTGGTGATGTTGCTAGTAGAAATCTGTGTAGAACTGATCGTATCTTTAGGGATACATTCATTATATGAATGCGTAAACTAAAAAAGAACAAAACAAGGCTAATAAAGGAACATTACTGGTTTACAGGATCTTTAGACTATATAACAGCACCTTTTAAAACTTCTACTGGTGCTCTGGGCATCTTTACCACCTATTTTATATACTACTGTATGTAAAAATGGGTGTGTCTTTTTATCTTGTGTTAAACAAAAGATAGAAGGGTAAACACAGCATCATTATGCTGAACAGTTACCTGTGAAAAACATTGTTCTTTCTGTATTTTAACTGCCTGAGATAAAACTATTTCCTCTCAATCCATAAGACACATAATTTTCTTCTAGGTTCCAATTAACACCATTCCATTAATAGTATTCTTAAAAAGATCTGATATATTTAGATTTTAGTGCCATGAGTACTTAATTTAATGAAATTTTCTTCTCCTCATCAATGGAATAGCTCTGTTCTTGGCTGGAGTCTCTGGAAGTAATTTGTGTTATTAAATGAAGTAGCTAGATTTCTGTAACAGCTTATTTCCAAACAGCAAAATATGAAAGATACTGGTTCATTTGAGAGATTATTCAGGTTTTTTAATATGAAAATTTAATTTTATTGACTATTTATTTCCTGAGGTGGATGTTAATAGAAAGGGAAACAATTTATACTAATGCAGTCTTTGTAGTTATCTGGTTATTTCTATAACCTTCTATCACAATATACTGTACATTTTATTAGCTTTTCTATTAATTAGATAAGGCAGTTTCCACAACATGAACCATTTGAGAAAACTGAGTACCACTGCAGGAACACATTATTCAGCATTCCTGGCTAGCTACTCATATCATTTAACGATTCCTAAAATTATAATCACTGAGACTTCTGCTGTTTGATTTTTTTATGTCTAGAAGTATATACTATTTCTAATTAGAATGCTTATCATTACTTTGTAACGTACTTTTATTAGAAAAGACAACTGGAAAATGATGCTGCTGAATAAATCTAATAAATGTATTATTCTACCACATCCTTATTTCATAATTTGTGTCAAGGCTGTATGTACTTTTTTCATTTGTGGAGACTTCAGTGCGCTCTCAGATGAAAACAACAGTGCTTTAGATAAATAATAGTGCTTACTGTTTCACACAACTCTCTGAAGTTCTTCATATAACATCACTGACATTGTATCACTGTAAATGTGAAAACTTCCCCGTTACACACATGAAAGAAACTGGCCATTGAAACGGGAAACTCTTATTACTGATTGTAAGAGACTGACTATCAAGGTAGTATTGACATAAGTGATTAAAACCTTAGTTTGATTAACTTTCATATCTGAGTGCTTTACTATAGAAAAATCCTTAGAATCTGGGGCACAGTGTACACATCTGTAAGGCTATGAGAAAGGATTTCTTTGAAAGGCAGGTTGCTGTTATTAAGGAAAGAGTTCACTATGTTTTTTAAAGAGAGAAGGCAGGGCTAACATTTCCATAAGACTTGCCTCCATTTGCATACCAGGAGAAAAAGTAGCATCAGTTTTCTTAGTAGTCTTTGTCAACAGAAATATTTGGAACCAGTTTTGGAGAAAACTGCAAATATGTTAGCCATGTATCAGAGGTTTTTTTTTTTTTTTTCCCCCTATAAGAATTTTAAGTTTTCCGATGTGGAAGAAAACCATCCCTGGAATACTGTGTAGACAGGTAGTATGTAGATTTGATTGTTTAAAGTAAGTCATGGTGAAGGATTCCTAAGCTTCAGCTGGACCTCTTCCTCTCAGTTAGCATACCACAGTGTACCCTTCTGATTATGTAAAATTTAATTTTTGGTACTTTGTTCAACAGAAGCTTTAGATTCTATCCCTAACTTTGTTTTTCACTTACATTCTTTTTCCCTTATAAGGACAGTCCCTGCTTGGATCATTGAATTCTGGACTCATTCTGTTTCAAAGAAGGATAAATTTTAGAGATTTTGGCACCTCTCTGTAATCTGCCACTATAGGGCTAATAAATTATAACAGTAAGTTTTTTCATGTACATTCTTTTTACAGCTGCCAGGCCAGATAGAGAGAACTATAACTCTGTAGATATTTATCATTAAATTAAGTAAAATCAATTTATTCTTGAAGCCATTTGCCAGAGAATAGAACATCAATTAAATACTTAATTACTATTTTTATATTCTGTCCCTTTCTTGCGCTTGTACGAACACACACAGACACACGCCCCCTCTCACATGCACAGATTGTTGAAACTCTTTGTCTTACATTTGGAGTTCTGACCAGCACATGGTATTTTTGTAAGCTTAATTGAATTGCACATTAATGATTAATCACCAGCACAGCTCTTTAGCAAATAAAACCTTTACCCCTTCAATTTTAATATCTCTAAGAACATCAGTTTGTGAGCCTCTAGCCAGCAGCTTAACAGATAGAAATCTTGGATAAGAGGCACAGTAACCTCAACTAACATTTTACCATTCCAAACACACTCTTTGTACGGTCTAAATAAATTGCCATAGCAAACGCTAATGACCTGTTTCATGTGATGAGTGAAATAATCATCCTTTTAACTTGCACAGTACACATAGGACAAAAAAAAAGTGAATGCATATTATTTCAATATTATTCTCATAAACTATACTAATATTAGGATAATAAAATAAAGTATAGTTTGGATACTCTGTTTGGATTATAACAGAGTACAAGGTAGTTTTGATTTTCCATGTAACTGTGTATCTGTAAAATAGCTTGTGTTTTATCTCCACACAGCTGAATAGTTATGTGATTGATTAGATACAGTCAAACACTGCAATTGTAATTTTTGGAATATATTGCAATAGCTGGGCTTTGTTATTATTTGATTTGATATCTCGTGTTTAGAAGCTTGTGAAGTTTAGCTGCTCCTGAATATGACCATGAGCAAACCCCCCATGGAACAGATTACTAACTCTGACTAAATACACTCTGTAAGGTACATGTATAAGATACATGTTCTGAAAGGCCATTGTTTCATTTCAAGTTCACTAGCAGCCTGTGTGTTGATGAAGTTTACCTGAAAAACTGATTCTTTTAGTGATTTTTATTTTTCTTATTTTCTTATTATTGGGTGAGTAGTATTAACCAACTTGTAGCTGAATATTTTATGAATGCAGATCCTATAGAAGTATCATTTCTGAGCATAAAAAATGACCTTCAAAAACATGCTGTGTTTACAAGCCTATCTGCAAACTCAGAATTTCCAGGTAAGGAGGGGTGGGGAGTGGAGTAAGTGTCTTCTGAAAGGAATTTATGCAGTCTAGTAACTGGTAAAGAAGAGGATGTCTGGTTTTGACAGGATTAATATTTATTTCCACAGAGCTGATACTGGTTTAGTACTAAATGTTAATTATAACTCCAGGAACTGATCTCCCATTAGCTACTTGAAGCTGGAAACGTCATACATAGCAGCCTGTCAGATAAACAGCTTGGGGCATAGGAGAGAAACAGCCAAAAGAACTTTGCATCCCATCCAGGTCTGTATCATGTCCTGGGGTACTTTGCTATCAGGGCATGCTCCCTGCATTTTATGACCTTAGAAATATCAGAGTCACACAGTCTTTTCACTGATGATCTTTGAGCTTTTATATCTGCAAAGAAGAAAATAAACCTGAGATCATTTGTATGCAACATTCTCTGCAAGAGGATTCTTTATATTCAAAGGTCTGGCTACAGCTTTAGGCTTGCTTTAGACTACTGTCCTAAGTACTGAGAGCAGTATAGCTACAGCAGAGCAGAGACCAGAAAGGCTGTAAAACACCCAAGAGCCTGGTAAACAAAAAACTGTGTCCCATATTATGAACCAGATGATCCCTACAGTAAGTGCAGTGTGACACAGCTCAGGTTTTCAGATATCAGTAAGTCATAAACTTAGCATATGGTCATAGCAATTAATTTCTCCTGGGCATTCTACCTCTAAGTATGGAGGGAGTTAAGATGGTAGCATGACATCACATCCCACCAATCTCATATGGGAACTAATAACACAGGCCTCATCTAACATGTACATAGTCCAGAACAGTCAGCAATGGGTTCTTAACGGATGTTAATTAAATACAGCAAATGTTCACAAAATCACAGATTGGTTGAGGTTGGAAAGGAACCTCTGGTCCAACCCCCCTTCTCAAGCTGGGTAACCTAGACGAGGTTGTTCAGGACCATGTCAAGACAGATTTTGAACATCTCCAAGGATAGCAACTCCACAACTTCACTGGACAACCTGGGCCAGTACTTAGTCACCTGCACAGTAAAAATGTGGTTTCTGATGTCCTGAAACAGCAGGAACCTCCTGTGTTTCAGTGGGTGCCCACTGCCTGGAATCCTGTCCTTGGGCACCACTGAGAAGAGCCTGGCTCTGTTGTCTTTACAGCCTTCCTTCAGGTATTTATATACATTGATAATATCCCCCCCCCAAGCTTTCATGCAGTCCTTTTTCTACTTACATTCAACAAAGTATTTTTTGCCATAGGAGTCCCTGATTTCAGGAGTTAGTCTGTTCCAAAGTCTTAAGAAATCTCTCTCGATGACATCTGAATTAGCTCCTGCCTTGAAGAAACCATGCTAAACAATGCTTACTTTCACTCCAAAATGCTGCATCTCCATCCTGGAAGAAAAAACCCAGTAACCATCCCTGACCACACAATAGTGTCATAACTATTAAACAGAAGTAAGTTGAAAGTCTGTAACATAAATGAATATTTGAGACTTTGATTCTTATCTTCATATGTCAGAATAGTTTTGAGATGTTCAGATTAGCTTCATAGCAGTATACCTTTCCTGTAAAAGCACAGCAGGCAATTAAATCTGAGGAACAAAAGCAGTTTCAGGTAGAGCTTTCTGTGTGCTTTATGTTGGACTGGAGCAAAGGATGCAGCAGCCAGATGCATCTTTGCCATGTATTATCAAAATAAACTTTTGACTATTATTTCAAATACTGTTGCATCATTTCAGCTTCTAGCAGGAACAGATTACTAGAGTGCCTGGCAAAAAAATAAAAGTGAGCAAAAATTTTCAATTGGATTAGAACTTTATTTTCCATCATATGGTTAAATGGCTATGGTTAAGTGATTAAATGTTAGTGCAATAAAGGTTAGTGTTATTTCCTGGTAGCATGGTTCCTTCTATGTAATTTTGAGTTGCAGTGCAACTCCTTGGGATGAAAATGGCCTCTTTGTCTTGCTGGGCAGCTCAAGATACCCAGGCAGGTATGTTCCAAAGCATGCAAAAGAATGGACCACACATATGTTAGCTATTGGGATATGTTATATTTCACTGGGGCATATACTTTACATAAGTATTTGTAATGGTTTGCAACCAACTTTCCTAGTCTTCGTGAAGACTTGACTTGCTGATCTAGGCCTTAGCCTTCTTGAGGCACTGCAGCACAACTGGCTTCAGTGAAGGGTGCTCAGCTTAATTTTCTGAAGTTACAAGTACCTTTGGTGATGTGCTTGCTGCCTGGAATTGCCCAGTTCAGATTGTTGTGGAGCATTAGAACAAATTAAAACAGGTTGTAACTGGGCAAATGCAACTAAGTACAACTTGCCCATGAAACTCTGGGTGTCTGACCAGGCTGTACTGTTGATATACTTTTGTGTACACTGTGGGTTCACATGCCCAAAAGCTGCATGCTAGCCATTTGTCCAGGATGTGAAAATTTTTCCCAGTGCAGTTTGCCAGTGGGTCTCTTCATAGTACTGGAGATTGAAATCCCAAACAAGTGACCAACATCCTCTTATTTTCCTTTCCCCCTTTAGGCAAGATTTCTAGAGAGAAATTAAGAGAGAAAAGCCCTTCCTCAGCCCATCTGGAATCTGTTCTTGGATTCATACAGGTATTTCTAGCTACTGATTGTAAGGTGTCAGAGAAAACTTCCATGCCCCATTTGGACTGGCTGTAGCCACCCCTTGCAAAAGCCATGAGATGAGGCCTTTGGCATTAATTAGATTGAATACTCTTCCCTCAGCTGTTTTCAGAAGTGTCAGAAGCTTCTATCAATCCCAGAAACTAACATCCAGCACTGAGTGAAAGTCTTCCATCCTCAGCCAGTCAGTAGTGCTACAGGTACTGTTCCTTCAGCATTGCTCACCAAGCCAAAGAGCCCTAAGAGGATTACAAACCCATTTATTTCAGTATGTGGCAATATCTTACCCTAGAATTTCATATATAGCATGAGCCATGCACAGAGTTTGCAAAAACTTCAGTGAGATTAATACAGTTGTCTGGGGTTTGCTTGTAAGATCTACTCTGTACACCTGGCAAAGTTTGCTGAAGGCCTTAGGCAACGACTCTAGAAGAGCATGGGTAAAGTATTAAAGGAAAACTATTTTGGTTGGATATATGAGCCACCATACTGGGCTTTATTATCCAGATCTGCTCAAGTATGTGGGCTCCTAATATGCACTTACATTTTTATGAAAATGAAATAGTCTACGTAAAAGCAGAGAGACTGATTATTCTGGGATGGGGTCTAAAGGTCTGAAGCAGAAGTGCGGAATTAGTCAATGCTTCTAAAAATATTAGCTTAACCCTGTGTATTGATAATACTGCTTTACTACCTTATAAATTGCTTGAGGAACTTTAGATAAATAGTGACGTTTCCAAGAGTTTGCTGAGGACAGCCTGCACCTGAAGCGAGAGGCCGAAAGTCCAGCACTCAGCCTCCATAAAGAGTTTGTCAGACTGAGGTGACGGCATTAGCAGTGGTTATCCCGACTGAGAAAGTGTGGCTTTGCACAAACAAGCTGGAGGCAGAGGCCTGCTGGAGGAGGTAAGTGCTAATAATTGTGTTGCCCTTGCCCTCAATCACTGCATTCAAGAATGGTCTGGAACTGTCATGATGAGGCCAACAGAGTTTTATGAGCTTTGAGGAGAAAGTCCTACTGGTAGAAGATAAGTGTTTTGCTTTTTTAGCTGGTTAAGTAATTAACAAGCCTACTGAATATTTGATATAACTGTGTATTAGAGCTGGTAGTTGCAGTACCGGGGCTGTGGATCCCCTTTGGCAGCCCTTAACAATGTCTAGTTTGAGCTTTTGGTGCTGAGAAAGAAAACATATATTGCTGTGGTTTAATATATTTAATGTATTTGCCACACAGATCTTTTTATCAGTCTTTGTCAAAACCAACACTTAAGTCTTGCTTTTTAGCTGCACTCACACTTATCCAAGGACAAATCCTTCCTCTTTTAGACAAGTGCTCAGAGGTGTGTGATAGCAGTGGTGAGAGCTGCCTATGTAACAACTCTAAGAAAACTTGTGTGCTTTGCAAAAGTCAGTCTTATGCAACCATGCAAAAACACTGTTCTGCTTATTAGAGTAGGGCTGAAGAAGCCCTGCACCCGTCATTTGTAATCAGGTGGGCTGGTTTTATTGTTGAGAAAGCTCTTTCTAGTATCAGTTAGCACCTTCCCCCACTGAGATTCTACAACTGCGCTGAAAGGACTCTGAAAAAACACACCTGGAAATGATTTGGTTTTAACAGACTGAGCAACTGCATTTTTAGGCACCCTGTTGGTGAAAGTGAGGGGAAGCCCGAAAGCATTGCTGGAGAGAATCTCTTTGAACTGAGAAATAACAGAACTGAAGAGTGCATGTGTTTCATCAGTAAGATAAAACATGCCTCTGTGGAGAGTGGAGAGGCACCAGAACTTTTAGCTGGACTAGATTTGGTTATACTTAATCATTTCTCTGGGAAATTACCTTGCCACTTATCCTTGCCAGCTGTTAGTTCAGGTACAAACACCATAGCCCTGGCTATGCTGTTGGAGTAAACTAAGTTGAGGCTTACTGTCTCCAGTGAGAGTGAGGAGCAGGACCGGTAGCTCTTGGCCTCCTTTTTCTGTGGCACGTGCAGGAATGACACAAAATTGCCTTTTGTCAAGTCATGTAGCCAGTGAGTTTCCAAGCCTGGTGTCATAGCTAGTTATGAAGGCACACTTTCCACTCAGGTTTCTTACTCTGTGACTTCTCTGAACCAGTAAATGATAAGAGAAAGCATGGAAGCCAAAATTGCTGTATGCTGTGAGTCTGAAAGTGAGAGCTACAAGCAAATAAGCTAATGATCTAGAAATGCAATGAAGCGAATGTGCTCAGCCCCAACTTCCTCAAATACAACTCCTGTTAAGGGGCTTTGTTTCTGGTTGCAGCCATTCCCATTCACTGTAAAGTAGCGGAGAGCAGGGGGGGAAGCGTTGGCACAATGTGATCAGGTCCATGAATAATATGTGCCTTGGCAAAACTTTCCCTGTCCTTTTCAATAGATTCCCACTGTTTTCAAGTTTTGCTGACCAGTCTTTCTAGTCAGCCCTGTCTTTTCAGGATATTTCAGACTGAAAGGAATGGCTGAGTTCTTCAGTTCTTACAGTAGTGTCTGGGGTTTTTTTTGGACATTGGTGATTAGTTGTGCTAGTACTGGAGAGAGGAATTCCTCTGGGAAGAAGGACGATTCTCTTTGACTGCCTGTATGATGCCACCCAGGCTGCTCTTCTGATCTGTAGCACAGAACCAGAGTGACCACTAGAACAACCAGAAAAGCCTAAGCTGTAGTGATGGGTCTGACGACTAATTTGTTGTGTGATGGTGAGTTATCTT